AGAATTGTTGTCTGTTGTCATTGTTTGCTGTGCACCAGCTAGAGTGGCCTTTGATCAGATGGGTGATCGATGGATCAATCAATAAATCAATCAATCAAAGCTGTCTCCTCTTTTTCCTCCCTCCTCTCCTCCTCTTCTTTATTAGCCTGTTGACCTTATGTTACTAGATACTGTATAGGCCTTCCCTAGTTCTTTCCAGAAATTTATGTTTTCTGCTTTTCTAGTCTATGCCAGTCCTGCTTTTAACATCATACCATATATCTGTCTTGTTTACTGTCTTTCCTATTCCTCCTGCTTCCATTAATTCTGAGGTTCAATCGTCAAACAAGTCAAACTAAATGCAAGCTGTCTAGTACGCAAGGTATTCATGTATCTTTTTATTCTGTCATTCTACTTCATGTCTCATGGCATAGCTTGCCCAACTCCTTTTTAATGACGCTGTTCTTTCATATCTAACATTTTAATCTTCTTTTTCCAAATAACCTGGTTCCTTACTTTATCTGTTAGTCGGATCCTTGACCTTTCTCTTCCCTTCGAGTTTTTGCAAGCTTTTCCATTAAGCATTTTTTTAGAGTCTAGATCTGTGCAGCATACAGGTCTGTACTAGCAACAGGGAGTGGCTGAAATCCCATTGCTCAACATAGTATGTTCCACTAGAGTAGGTCCATTGAATCATTGGGGATTTGGTAAGTCAACTTCTCTGTAAGTTCCATCGATACCAATCGGCCAACCCTAGTAGGGTTATCCTAAGCGAAAGTAAGTCAAAACTATAATAATAAAATAATAGAACCTTTGGTTCATCCGCCACAGTTGCATTGATTCAATGGGTGTGCTCTAGTGCAAATTACCACGCTAAACGATAGAATTTTACAAAATTATTTTAAATTAATCTTCGTAAATTTAGAGAAATGTTTTGGCTCTTTAGAATTTTACTTTGCTGATCTTGGAGGTTTTATATGTCTCTCTTCTTCTACTTTCTGATTAGATTTCCCACACGGCATTACCTGTCCCAGATAAATATATTCTGCTACATAACCTATATGATCATTTATAACATCCCTATTCTTCTTGTCACTGGCCATTACTTTTGACCGATAATGCCTTTGCTCTCTTCTTAGTTTGTGGCAATTGGGTGTCAAGATGTAACCAATGTAGACAAGTAAGAAGCTTCTGGCCATAAAAACTGTGTCTTAAAACAATATGAGAAATGAAGGTGCACCCTAATATCCCGTCGGTGTTTTGCTTCCCTTGCCAGGTCGGCCCTTCAACCCAACCACCCTTTGCAGCAGCGCTACCTGCAACATCATCAGCCACATCCTCTTTGCAGACCGGTTCGATTACCAGGATGAGGACTATATCCGGATGCTGAAGTTACTTACAGAAGCCTTTGTTCTAGACAGCTCCTATGGAGGGCAGGTAAGGAAGAATCCAGAAAGAAGGTGCTAAAGGAAAGGAGAGCATGTTGGGAGATGGAGGCTGGGTATAAAAGGAGATATCCTAGGACTGTTGGATCCCATTTCTGTGGACCAACACAGTAGAGAGATAGAAGACCTGTGTCCAAAAGGCCTCGTTGTATGTTAACACAAAACAGCCCCTCTAGCCCTAAGGTTGGTTCCTGGATTGCGTCTGGCCAGCCTTGTGTGGCCTACTCTGAGAGGTTGGACTGGAGATTACAAGATTTTTAAATCGGCTTCCTGTTAGGTAGTGGGTGCAAAGGGCAAACAAGGGATGTCTTATAATTATAACTCTAGTCTGGATATTTTTCCAAGAATTTCTGGTTGGAAGAAGGAGCTTTCAAGGCTGCTAACCTTCATCCTCCTTTGGGGTTGCTTCAGCCTATCTAGCTCCTGGCCTGATTTCACATAGTGAGTCCAAAAAAAATATTACAAACGCTGAACACGATTCATCTGCCCAACTTCAGAGTCCTCCTTTGTAAAGATTCATGGTTTTAATTCAGTGAACATTGACTGCATTTTCTCCCTCTCTCTTTTCTTCAGTTATATTACCTTATCCCCAAGCTCATGGACTTCTTGCCTGGTCCTCATAAAACTCTCTACAAAAACGTGTCCCACATAGAGATCTTTATAGCCCGGAAGATAGAGGAACACGAGAAAACCCTGGATCCCTCAAGTGTTCCTCGGGACTTTGTAGACTCTTTCCTCCTCAAAATGGAGCAGGTAAGACGTGCTGGAGTAGAGAAAGCCATAGAAAGAGGATGGGCATGGGGTGTGAACCATTATATGCCTCATTCCTGCACAAGAAAAGAAAAACCACTGAGAAGGAAACAGCAATATTAGGATAATATTTTTTAATAGACTCCAATCATTCTTTTGTGTAAAAGATGGACTTTGTGCAAAACCATGATACCTTCTTGTTTGGTTGCATGGATTTCTAAGAAACAGAAGCAGTGGATGGGTGCTTTGTGTCTTTTGCACAAACCAGAAAATCCTTCTCTGCTTGTGTGATGCTCTCTGGTTCTCTGTTGCTGTTTATATAATCTATAGGGGTTACACTTGCAGAGTATATGTGTGTCGCTTGTCAAAGAGAAATGACAGTAGGATTTACACAGATATTTAAAGATCCTCCCTGGACGCCAGAATTTTCATAGGGTCTCTCCATTTCTTTTTAGTCTGTCTCTGTTGGTGAGAATTCTTTAAACTCCTGGGTGCTGATGCAGAAGCTTGGTTATCTTCGACAATTTTATTGACCAATTTACGGAAATTGTGCAAAGAGTTTTGCCAACAGTGTAGGCTTTTACTGAGGCCAGGCCCTTTCCAAACCTCCTCTTCAGGTCATGACAGGGGCATGCCATCCATGCCAGGTACAAGTCATGGCCAAAAAATCTTGTAACATGGTAAACCTCCATTGTTTAGGGAAGTCTTCCCAAGTGTTTTCCACTCCTAACACTCAGAAGCACCATTGGCCGTATCCACAAGTTGTTCTCTTTTACACCCCACATCCCTCTGAATATGAAGATTAAGGGAGGTATAGGGGTTGCTGTTGTAATGTTGTGGATAGTGTTGCATTTTGTGTTATAGGGGTTGCTGTTGTGATGTTGTGGATAGTGTTGCATTTTGTGTTGTGACGGATGGTTTCCCCCACTGTTCTCTTCATTCCCAGGAGAAGAACAATCCCAAGACAGAATTTACTAGAGAGAACCTCATGGTGACCATTGCTGACCTCTTCACGGCTGGAACAGAGACCACCAGCACCACCTTGAGATACCTCCTCATGGTCCTGACAGAACACCAAGCTGTCCAAGGTTGCCCATCCAGGCATTGAATCAACTCCCCTCTTTTTGATATTTGTTAGAACACATTGCCTTCCTTTCACGATTTACCCTTACGGTGTTTCTCAACCCGCTGCTCCATGCATTTGAATTGGCATGCTCCTATTGCTTATGAACATGTCTTCTTTTCTCCCCTGCCATCTGCAAACAAACCACAGGGCGGGATGGCCATGATCTCATTTCATTCTGGAAACCCGTCCACAGGCTGGGACCATGATCTCCGGCGCCCAAACCCGACACTTCTTCAAATATCAATCCAGATTCATATCATTGCATTTGATCAGACTGATCACAAAGTCAAAGTCTAGTGTCCTGTAACAGCCCAAGGCCATTGTGAAGACAACCAGCATCACTGTTTTTGTAGGGTGTGAGATACAAAAGGGTGAGATAAATTTATTAATGTATTGACCATATTTATATGCCACCTTTCTCCCCATAGGGGACCCAAGGTGGCTCACAATAGGTAAAATACGAACTTTTAAAGCATCATATAAATATCACAATTAAAAAAACAACTGAACATCCACAAAGATTAAAACAATCAAGTATAAAAACCAATCCAAAAAACATATAAAAACCTTTAATTAAAAAAAAAACCAGCATTCCTAATATACTTACTGCTTAAAGGCCAGCCAGAAAAGAAAAGTCTTTGACTGAGGATGGAAGGAGGAGAGGGAAGGGGCCAACCTGGCCTCTCGGGGAAGGGCGATTTTAAAGCCTGGGAGCCACCACCAAGTGGGACCAGGGGTGGCTCTCTTATCAGTGTTGAGGCCAATCTGCTTCAGACTTCAGCTGGAACGGGAAAGAGAGGGGTGGTTTTCATGAGGACCACAGCCTGGGAGGAAAGGCTTCATAACCTTCCTCATAAACAATAGTCCAAACCCAGACAGGGGAGGTGAGGCATAGCAAGGGAGGAATTGTGTGAGAGTGGTTTGCTCAGGCTGCTGATGGTACGTAAAACACCCTCTTTAAATTCCCTTCTAGCAAAAGTCCACGAGGAGATCGACCGAGTGGTAGGACGAGAACGGACACCTGCCATGAAGGACCGCCCTGAGATGCCATACACAGAAGCTGTCATCCATGAAATCCAAAGAATTCTGGATCTTGTTCCCCTGGGTCTTGCCCGCCGGACAAGAAGGGATGTGGAACTGGAAGGTTTTACCATCCCAAAGGTACATAGAGGAAGCAGGAAGTGGTTTTCCTGGAAGGCCAAGAGCTCAAAAGCATAAGGCCATCCTACATGTGCTGAAGATCAGCTCTTACAGGTTGCTTGCTAGCTCTCACCCTGATGTCTTCTCTTTTCCTTCAAACAGGGCACCACTGTCTACGCGGTCTTGGGCTCTGCCTTGAGGGATCCCAAGCAATTCAAAACCCCCTACAACTCTGACCCAGGGCATTTCCTGGATGAAAATAGGAACTTCAAGAAGAACGGAGCGGACATGCCTTTTTCCGCAGGTAGGAAGTCCTGTTTTGTCATCTCTTGGGGAAAATTTTTAATCTGGTTTCAAAAGAAAACTGAGAAAATCAAGTCTAAGAGCTCTTCCAGATGTTAAGGCTAGGGTTATATACTATTTTATTTGAGCCCCCAATCTTCCCACCCATGCCCTAAATCAAAAGGAACCCCTTTAAGTTGTGGCCGTCTTGAGGAGCGCTTTGTGAAATTCTTTTCGGCTTCCCTCCGCAACAGGGAAAAGGAACTGCCTGGGTGAAGGACTGGCTCGGATGGAACTCTTCCTCTACACCACCACCATCCTGCAGAGCTTCCACGTCAAGCATCCTCCGGGGGTCACACACATTGACCTCACTCCAAAAGTCAGCGGCTTCGGGCAGATGCCCCATGAAGCCGAGCTCTGCTTCTCTCCACGCTAAGCAAAGGCACCTCCTCATCTCTGGATTCATAAGCAGAACATCTCAAGAGCAATCACTCAATTTAGATAGGGAGGGAGATGCCACCACATTTGACAATCAACTAACATAGCTGTCTCTTTGATGTGTCTACTGCTGTTGTTTTAATTACAAACTCCATCCATCCATCCATCCATCCATCCATCCATCCATCCATCCATCCATCCATCCATCCATCCATCCATCCATCCATCCATCCATCCATCCATCCATCCATCCATCCATCCATCGATCCACCGCTTCTCATTTGCCTCTCTGCCTGTCTTGGTTTGTGTCAGCTAGAAATGTTTGTGCTTTGGTCAAAACTACAGCAGTCCCTGTTTCCAGATGGACAGAACACTTATAGACTTCTTCCAACTTCATGATTCTGTGATTATTCTAAGACTGACATTAAGAAGCCATTCCTTCTTCACAACGGTCCCTGGACATCAGGTAGAAGGGGAAAGAGCACAACGCTCACATGTTTTCCCTACCGGTGTTGACTGCCATCTAAACAGCTATATTTACATGAAACTTAAGGTTGCCAAGTAAACCTTTGAACATGGACTCCACCTCTTGAATGAGTCCCATCACCAGCCCAGGTAAAGAGCTAGAGTTCCCTTGTATACTCTGGCTATAATGGTGCCGAAGCCAAGGGATTGTTTTACATTACTTATTTTACAAAAGCAGAGACATTTGTGCTGATCCCACACAAACCATGCGTGTTAGCACCGACAGGCTCAATACATGGGAGTTCTATGTTATGACTATGCACTATCAAGCAATGAACAGGGTTTATAAACCCAAAAAAAGCTGAACTGAAAAAAATTAAAGGTTCTGTAAACTGTGAATAATAAAATAGAAAGAATAAAGTTTCAAGGTGTAAGTTTCTTCTATATACAAATGTAAACCCCTACTTTTCTACACTGAGTTAGGCATCTTTCAGTCTCAAAAGACTAGGGTCACGTGCTCTGTATGGAGGACTTGGAACAGCGTCTAGTGTGGCTGAGAAGGCCAATTTGATAGTAACACGATCCCTTCCACACTGAAGACCAATACAGTCTGTCCCCTGTCCAGCTACCTGATTTTGCTGGTTTCAGGACTGCCTCTTGGCCTCGGCCTGCTGGACAAGGGTCTCTTCAATTTTCTACATTATCCTATCCACATACTTCCTTTAACACAATTCTTAACAAGACCACACTTCCTTCAATCTTCCACAATACTTTCTGGCTTGTGTGATCACTTCTCTCCCTTCTTTGATGTAAGGGTGGGGTGTGTCATGATCACACTGAGAGCAATGTCTTCAGTAGAGCAGGGTCTACTAGGAAGAAGGTGGGAAGAAGGGCAGAGGAGAGTGTGGCCATACTGGGGGGGTGGAGAAAGGCACCTGATATGACCTTGTATTGTGCCGTCACTTACAAGTCACCTTCTCAGGATAATGAAACTTTTCAGCATTAGGGACACCAACGATTTCACCCAAAACGAACTGCCAGGATGCTGTATGGAAAACTTCACATGATCCTGGGACAAATTCCCATCTCACTGCTTTCTTAGAAAGGACCGGGTCCTTCTGTAATATTGGCTTGAATGCTGCTATTTTTTTAGGAAAGATTCTGTGAAAACCTTCTTACTCTCAAAATACACAGCGATCCCAAAGGACTGCTGGGGGCTGTTCTACTTTACAGACAGAGACCTCTTAGACAAAGGACTTGGGGGTGAGGGATAATCCCACTTCTGCAGTCCTTCTCCACCCATTGTCAT